TGGTCTTGAGGAAGGTAACTCAAAACACTCGGGAACTCAACGCGGGCAAGTTAGGCCCAATATGGGAAGGCCCTTACCGGGTTTCAGCTATCACTGGGAAAGGATCATACGAGTTGGAGAACTAGAACGGAGATAAGTTGCCCAACAACTGGAATGTGGCTCACCTCAAAAGATATTACTACTGACAAAAAATAGTCAAACGGAAAGTATGTGCTGCACTCTTTTTCCCTTCGTTCAGTTTTTGTCCCAATTGGGTTTTTCTAGCAAGGTTTTTAACGAGACAGCGACGAAAAGCATACTACAAAGACAAAAGTGATAAGACTTTGCATAACAAGTCAAACGAACAAGTTTCCACTCGAGGACGATTAGATAATCTTTGTTTCGATAGAAAATTCCCACCGGGAAGTTAAGTTTGCTATCGAACGGAGGTTACCCGACCGTTCACGAGCACAAAAAACTAGAGGACTGTTAGGTATTCTTTTGCTCGATAGCATGGGTTCCTAAGGGGAAACAAGATATGTTGTCGAGTGAAGGATTGCCTAGCAATTCATTGGTGGGAACTTAAAAGATACAAGACTTCCAGTATTCCAATTCGCATTCGAACATAGGGGGGAATGATATGAGAATACGACAACACTGAATGCCACGTCAACTGGGGAATGAAAATCCGGGAACATAATACATCATCAGGACCGGGGACTGCACAGCCAGCCCCATAGAAACAAGTTGTACAAGATAGCCACAAGTCATGGCAATTTCTTTTCTGCATAGCAAAATGCTTAAGTACTTTTAAAAATAGAAGGAATTAAATGAAATGAAATCCTTTTGTTTTTATCTTGTTTCTTGTCCGAACGATGAGTTAATTTTGCAATTTGAAAGTTAAATAAGTACTTCAAATGTTAGTGTCGTAATGAACAAGAGACATCATGTTCAAGAGCACCGTAAACATAAGAGGGCCCTCTCTTATAAAAACCCTCAGTTAAAGGGTTGGTTCCGGAAGAATCAATGCCCGGAATCTAGAATGCCATCGGGGAAAAATGCACCCGAAGCCGCATACGAAAAAGACGCAAAAAGCAAACTTGCGCAAATACTCATGAAAACCCTCACGTTAAAGGGTTGGTTTCGGAAGAATCAATGCCCGGAATCTAGAATGCCATCGGGGGAAAATACACCCGAAGCCGCATACGAAAAAGACGCAAAAAGCAAACTTGCACAAATACTCATGGAAATCCTCATGAAAAAGGGATAATACTCGGAACCAAAATGCCTGGAAGTAAAGGCATCCGAGATTACACATAATAAAGCGCGAACAGAACAACATGCGCAAAATACTTGAGCAAGTACGAAAGTTAAAGACTTGCATGAACATTCAAACAAATGTAAGACTCAAATGATACTTGAGCAAAAAATTTGCTTTTATTTACAAGGACGCGTCAAAATGATAAAGGTACAAAATAGAAAAAGAAAGAAAAAGCTAAACTGCAGCGTCTCCGGAATTAGAAGGAAGAGAAGTATCCGCATCCCCGGGAGTAGTAGATGCTTACACTGACGGCTCAACATTTTCCCCAGCTTGGACTTCAGCATCATCGCCTTCCGATCCTTCTTTAGTTTCCGAAAACTAGGAACCGGAATCAAGAGAACCTGGAGCGTCAGACTGCGCCGGGAGTCCATTTTTTGCAGCCAACTCAAGCTCTCGGGCCTTAGCAATTTCGGCATCAATGTTAATGATACCAGTCTTGGCCTCTTCCAAGGTTTTTCTCCTCATGCTATACATGGAATAAGTTTTTTCAACAATGAGGGAAGCCGCTCAACGCTTGAGTTCTTCTTTGAGTTGAGTAACTTCGGCAGAAAGGTTTTCCCAGGTGGACCTAACAGATTTGAGACTGACGTCGAGCTCACGGACAGTTGAACTAAAGAGCCTATTATGCTCGATAGTTTTCCTGTACTTCTCTTCTAGCTGGACATGTTTCGCCACCACAGCGGCAAGCTATTCACTTTTGGAGTTTAAGGCTGCCTCAAAGTTAATCACTCTTTCAGCGGAGGCAGCCTCACGATCGGTTGCAGCAAGAACAACGTTCTGGATTTCTGCCCATTTAGCCTTGGCTCCATCAAATCTAACCCTCAGTGGCCTAATTTCTTGGCTAAGGGTTACCACTTCTTGCTCGCTTTGCTACAAACGAGCCTCCAAAACAACGGCCTCGATAGCATTGGTTTCCAGTTCTGAGAGGCAGAAAACAGTTTGGTCCCGTTCCGCCAAAAGCTGATCCCGTTCAGAAGTAAGTTCTTCCTTCTCACGAATCAGCCTTTTAAGGCCCTCATAAGCAAGAAAGTTGGCCTACAAAACAAGAAGAGGTAAAACTTTACATTTGCTCAAAAGTAGAAGAAATAACAGAAGAAGAAATGAACGTACCGCTGCGGTGTTATGCATAGCATTGTTCAACAAACACTCCCCCGAGAGTGTCTGAATCTTCTCCCAGTCTTTTTCTAAAGCCAAAGGCTTCAGATAGTTAGCAAGCTCCACCAGCCTCGAAAGCAAGTTACACCCGGTGGAGACTGAAAGGGTAACACTCCTCCTCATTTGTGGATCTTCAGAAGGGGCAGCATAATTTTGCCCCAAATTCCCATGAACTGGGGACTGTGGAGGAGGGACACCTTCTTCATGGTCAGGTGCGGCCGATGGAGATGATGTAGCAACCGCTGTTGGAAGAGTGGCTGAAGATGGAAATTATGTAGCAGTTTCTGGTGGTGGTGAAGGTGGAGATGAAGCTGATTGACTTTAAGAGTTAGAAGCAGCTGCATCAAATGCAGTGCTGGTTGTTTGATGCTCGCCAACCAAGAAGGCACGGACCCGGTACTCAACCTCGTGGTACCGGTTACAGTAATTGGGGCCCAGAAGCGGAAGTTAGCATATTCAACTAAATTATATTCTCCCCAAAGTGCTGAGACGTCATCCTCAGTTGGTGCAATTGTCTTAATAGGTCGAGCATCCTGTTGAAATGATGAGGATCGTATCCTTCTATGTAAAGAAGATCCCTCATCACTAGCTTCTTCATCATCATCGATCATCACAGTGTCTATGACCAGCCCGAAAGGAGGACCAGTCACCATCGCTACCGGAGATGACTCGGGGGCATCAACCTTTGCCCTTTTATTCTTCTCCCCGGCTACAGAGGAACGCCTTCCCTTTGGTTGCTTGTTCTCTGGCCGGGGACTCCGTGAAGAAATGTTTGCGCCCGAAGCAGGCCCGGAGATGCATGTTCGAGTAAGTGCCTCCTGAAGCAGCTTCACCACATCAGCAGGGTCAGCCAAAACATCTTCCTCGGGAACATCAATTGAGCCTGCAGGTAGACCTAATTTCATGAACAAGTCAGAAGGGTTCAACCAAGTTCTTCATATACAAAAAATGGAAATAAGGTAATTCAAAGTTACCATGATTTTTAGCCTTCCACCTGTATTTAAGGGACAACTCTTTCTACAAACGAGTTTTGGGTGTTGTGATGTCCAAGATCTTTTGAACCCACCGGTTCAAGCCTTCTATCACTGATGGGATCCATCGAGTCGATGTAACAAATGAAGGTTGAAGGATCAATACGAGCATGAAAGAATATTTAGTAGGAAAAAGTTTATTAAAGGGAACTTACGAGAGCGGTTCTAAACGACCGGAAAGGATGAAGCCGTTGTTGGAATAATGTCACAGGTGGCAACTGCAACGAACTGTTCCATCCACCCAGGGTTGTTGTCGTCATCCATGCTAGACAGTAAAGTATGGTGGCCATTCTTGCAAAGGTTTATCATTCCCCCGCGGAAGATTTTGGGGGAATAAAGATTCATCATATGAGCTAGGGTTAGCTCCTCTCTAGTTTCTTGGCACAAATGTCAAAGGCAGGTGATCGTCCTCCATACTGAAGAACTTACCTGTGCCAAGCACACTTGGTAGCGAAGGCAAAACTCCGCAATTACGGAATCAAGCTCTCTGCTAAAAGAAAACGCACCCAAAGTAAAGGGATACGTGAAGAAGTATGTAAAACCTTCCTTGGGAAGGGTCACTCTCTCCGATAAATCAGGAGCAATAATATCTAACTCAGGGCAGCGGCAGTCCTCTTTCACAGCAAGAATACTAGAAGGACAAATGGAAGAAGGGTATCTACTAACAGCCCATGTACGAGGGTTAGCAGTAGGAAATTTCTCTTCAAAATCTTTCGAAGTACTAAGCCTTCTTGGGATGATGGAACCCACTGTTGCAGGAACGGAATCCTCGGTTTTGTTCTTGCCCTTTGATGAACTAGCACGTTTTGAAGAGGAAGCCATTGGAATAGAAGGAAAATTTCTTATTCGAAGAAGATCAGAGAAAAGCTGGTAAATAAAGATACAAGTTAGAAGTTTGAGAAATTATGAAGTACATAAGAGGAGGATGATGCGTGTAACTAAAATTTTGGCGATTAAATTCATGGCCATGATTACCCCGATAATCGGTAAAAAGTTGTGCTGAATCGTAGAATGATGCGTGTTCGGGGCATTAAATGCGGAGAGACGTGTGTCTAATCAACTGTCAGAAAACTTCAAAGGGAGTTATAGTAATTTCTGCCAAAAAGGTGATTTCTACCAACTTCCCGGTAATTCAAGATTGTGTCACCGGAAAGCGGGGAGACTATCTGTATAGGAAAAAATACGACATGACATGTGGTCACTTAAAGGAAGGACACGTGGAACGGAAGATGGGTATGGCCACCGAACATAGCTATTCTGCTTGTCACCGGAAGGAATAACGATCATATAAGGAGTATTAAATGCTTTGCGCCCGGTAACATATAATACATAGTATTTTGCAGCATTAAGGATGATAGCCCGTTTCAAGAAATTTGGCATTTATGTCTAACGTTACATCTTCATCAATGACCCTTATAATTGACATTAAAGAAGGGCATGATCCTAGTACCTCTTTTCCTAGACGTAGCTATAAATAGTGAGCTTTGTTATCATTGTAAGGAGACGAATTTTCTGGCTAACTTACACTACATTCTATACAGCATTTTAATATAATTTTATTCTCTCGCTTTTGATCTCATCATTATTGTGTACGGAAACCCTATTCCTGAACTCATCAGCTCTGTCATTCCATCTACATTCTAAGGCTAAGTATTTTACATTTCATCGGTTATTTCATTATCTTTTGGATCAAATTAATTCACTTGTCTAGAAACCACGAACAATTTCAACTGTACCGTTTTACGGGTAAACAGATATATCACCATTGGATCTGTGGTAGGCTTCTCACCTACCTTGAAGAGGGTTGGTTAAGTTTGGTTGACCATTGATAAGCTCATGAAGATCACACAGTTCCTACAGTTTGGACTATTTAATACAGCGGAGCAGCTTGCACATGTAGACCTTTGGGAGGTAGTACTTACAAGGGTTCCTGTTTATACTACAAAGGATAGAAGTTTACAATCCACATTTAGTAGTCTTTACAAAATGCCTTGGGTGTTCGAGTTGAGTTTAGCATAAGTTTTTATCTGCGGACTACTGATAGTCTGATCGATCTATACATATGTTGAGGACATGCGCCGTTGACTTTGGTAGCCATTAGGATGATCTGTTACTTTTAGCAGAATAAGTATATAACAACACCTTACTGATCTAGTATATAGATGGCGCTGTTTGAGAATTTATACCGGGAATGGTGTCGTCCTCGCATTATCTTGGTTGGTTAGAACCCGAGAAAATGAAGTTGTTAGGCCCACATTTGGTATAACAGGCCTTAGAAAAAAATAAATCTGATCCAAGTATGACTCTGATTAAAGTCAAAACGGGAAAAAGTCATTTTCAAACAAATTGCGTCTTAACTTGGAGTTCATGGAGGGTAATCATATTTTTATAAAAGTTTTTCAATGAAAAGGCTGATGAGATTCGGAAAGAAGCGCATGCTTAGCCCGAGGCATATTGGCCCATACAAGATTAAAAAACAGGTCAATGCAATAGATAATAGACTAGCTTTACTATTAGAATTATTAGTGGTTCATTTGGTTTTTTATGTGTCTATGTTCTAAGAGTATGTTCATAACCCGACACACGTTCTTCGAGCTGAGTCAATCCAGGTGGACCAGGACTGATCCGATGGGGAGGTCCTGTTATCCATTATTGACAAACTAATTCTCCAGCTTAGTTCGAAAAGTTTTAGTTGATAAAATATTGCGACGAATCATCCTAATCATAAGGTTAATTATTTGAGAGTCTGAGCAGGACAGGTATAATAAGTATTCATAGTAGTTTGATACTTTAAGCATAATTAAATACTACATATGATTGACAAAAAAAGGGCATTTAGGACATTTGATAAGAATGAGGAAAAGGAAAAAATAATAAAAGAAGAAGAGTATAACTGGGGCAAGCTACAATTTGAAATAATGCTAGAACAGGAGTCTTAAAGAGTTGGAAACGTTGCTAAAAGCTTTGGAAGAAGTTGTATCTTAGCAATGCATCATATAGCTTTTTCTTAAATCGTGAAGAACACAGATAAGTAGAGAAATTGTGAGAAAACGATAAAAGAAAGAGAAAACAAGCTTGGGCTAAAAGGATTCAAGGTATTAATCTCTTTTTTTCTTCATTTAATTGGTATTATTATATACAATTATTGTTGGAATTGAGATATAAGTCTTGATTAAAATTAGGTTTACATTGTGTTATTGGCATTTCGATGAGTTGCTATCTTAATAGGATTGCTTGGGTTCATTGATACAACATTATATTCATTAATTTATGTATGTTTTGCCTTGATTTTGTGTATTTACACTTAAAAATTTTTTTTGGAGAAAATCTAATAGGTATATTTGACCTTGTTAAATACAGTAATAATTTATGTAGTTTGAAGGCATTTGACGAAGTTAGAACAAGGAAGTAAGCCGAGGAGTTGAGTTGCGTAGCTCAAAGTTGAAGTAAGTGAAACATTAAATCATGTTAGCTTTTTTCCTGGTGGTAAGAAAGTTCAATAAAAGGAAAAAGGCACAAGTACAATTAAGGTCGGATCTCCAGTTATGCAATCCACCTTTGCAGTATTCCTATTACCCCTAGGCCCTATACTATACTATCTCAAAGTGGAATTATTATCCCTTGATGTGGCACACAGAGTGAAATACACTCTCTTGAATAGAGTGAGAAGCCAAAAAATGTTTAAAATTTTATTTCTATAGCATTAATTTTACTACATATTATATATTTTCCTATTGTTTTCCTTCTTCATTATGTTCTTTCTTTCTCTCCTTGGACTAGTGGCATGGACTCACCCGCCGAGAAATTATTATACATGGATGCATTATGCATTGAGTTATGCTTCACATTCACCTCCCGAATTTCGTCGTGATACCTTCCCAACAAAATAAACCCCATCCCCCATCTCAAAAAAATGCATGTTCACATATCATGACTTATTAGAACTAATGTCAGTCTCAGTTGCATATGCATGTTAAAGAAATAAAATCAATTTCAAATAGAACTTGCTAAATTTAAAGAGAAATAATGTTTCAAATAATTTTGAAAAATCAAAGAAAAAAATAATGGACATTAATTAAGCATGAGAGCGAGGCATAGTGAAAGGGAGGGGAGTAAGAAAGTGAAACATAGTGAAGAGAACTAGTAATCATTTTGGGGGACTATAGCCTTACAAATCCTAGATTACAAAATGTAAAAGTGTCAATAGTGATCTAGTCTTGGATCCAAAATATACCAATGATATCATCTCAATTCTCATGGAACGTGCCTAAAGTTAGCTTTTTCTCCGCTAATCGAGGTGAGATATTTCCTTTCCGTATTTTCATTATTGTGTTCTAGATAGGAGGCCTTTTCCAAGCAATAATGAAAGAGCTTTTTCTTTTAGTTGATTTCGTTGATTGAGTTTGTCCAATTATTACTTCTAATAGTATAGTAATACTTATAATAATTAATGCAAGTAATGGGAAGATAACCTATGGATATTGACATTTTAAGTTTATCTAAAGGATATTTACTTCTAATAGGCATTGGTGGATTCCACGTCTTCTCTCTGCAGTGTGTGTCAGTGTTTTCTTTTATCTCTAAGCATAGCAGTATAACGCAAGCCTCTTCTGAAAATGACATCAATTTTTAATTCTTTGTTAAAACAGTATTATCTTTGCAAATTGTTAGTTAAATTACTCCGGGATAGTAGTGTATTAATATTACTGGATTTTATCTCTAAATTATCTTGCACCAAAGGAGAAGTGAGGGACTGTCAAATGTTGTCCTTAAACTATTCTTCGTCAAACCACCCCGAATACTGCTTTGTCGTCTAATATAGCCACTAAAGTAGAATAGTATTATATTTATATAATAGACAGTAGAAAAGGCAAATATACGATGACAAATAACTATGATAATAATGCTTAAATAGTTTAAAGAGTCAAAATTTCTTATTATGGCTAGACAACAAGCATCAAGTGAGTAATCATGCACTCACCAAATGGACAAAGCATCAACAGCGATTTCTGCGTTCTTTAAGTAACCAGCAAAGAGGACCAATGCCATGAAGTACCAAGTTTCCAGGCTGTATATTTAGATGCCAAATAAATTAAATCAGAAAACCATAATTATCATAAACTTAAGGGACTACAAATCTACAAAGATACAAGTATTTTTCTTCGAAAATTAGCCTCTATCTTTCAAGTTACCATATCAAACTAATTATAAAGAATTATCTATTATTATAAGTCAATTTAATGTGATGATATAGAAAAATCTATATTCCTCTACAATCAGTACACATGACTTGAACTCTTTATTTGTCAATGCAATTTTTGAGAAATTGATTCTTCAAATATAACAAAATCAAATATAAAGCACCAACTAAAAGTTAGAGGCGACAACAGAAAGAAAGAAACTGAAATGTTTGTGGGTAACTTACCATAGCATCACAGCTGATGCAAGAGATAACTTAACAAAACCCCAAAGATTATGGAAAGCCTTCCATGAGAAACCTGACCACGCTTGTCCACAAGTCCCACTAAATATGTACAGCAGCTGCGCCACCACTATGAACCACCACGATGAGTTCAGTACCACGGCGGCACCGACGAGTCCCCACCCAAGTTTTAGCATAAATAACCAGCTAAAAAAAGTATGCAGAACCAAAGCTATTGCTGCAATCCATGCCATGACCATAATCTTGCTCTGTGCCTGCAGTGCAGATTTTTGACATTGAGAGTGTGTGTATATGTGTGTGCAAATTACTAAAATTCTACCAAATATTAAATTTTGAACTCGTAATTTCAAAACTATAATACGTTCAATAACAGGAACTTAAAAATTAAACCATCAAATTGAATCCTGAATCCACCTATACCTGCAAGAACTTGGCGATTGGAAAATTCATGGCATATGCATAAAGTTGAGGAATCATATATAAAGCCATTTTCCCTGCTTCCCGTGATATGTCCTCTGTTTGTCCAATTAATCTCAGAAATGGTGCCGCGAAAATGTAAAGTAACATTAGAATTACTGCTGCTGTATTGAGAATAACCCATGATCTTTGCATGTATACTCCTAGCATGTCAATTTGTCCTGCTCCAAATGCTTGTCCACATAGTGTTTCTAACGCACTTCCCATTCCCAACTAATTTCCAAAATAACAAAAAAAGGACCATTAAAATTTCAAACAAAAATCAAAATATTCATATAGTAAAATCAGTAGCATGATTGTTCCGACATATTTGTTGTCAATATGGAATTCTGCTGGAAGATAATATTGAAATTATACACTAAGTACACACAGGATTCAGGTCTACAAAAATTCTCAAAGGTCCAAAAAGAGGTGAAGTTGTAATCGCTCTCTGCCTCCCGAAAAATTCTTTTGCACCACTTCTATGTGAAGATGAATGAATCTGTCCAATAACTAAGAGGTTCCAACATTAATTGCACAACATGAGGTCCACTAGTCATTGTTGCCCGATTTTAACACTAACAAAAATATGCCTCAATCTTAAAAGCAAGTTGTGATCGGCTATATGATTTTTAAATCACCACGTCCCTCCATTTATATTCACCTTAGACATATTTGGTATTATAAAGCTTCATCATAAATTAAGTACTAATTTAGGATTAAAAAAATTAAAGATTATAGAATTTCCTATATAGAAAATATCATTCTTTTTTAAAAAATGTGTGGGGTGGGGGTAATAACTTCATTACCATGACACCAAAAGAGAAACCGGCGATAACCGAGTTTTCAACAGAAACAGCAGCAAGCTCAAGAGTTCCAAGATGTCCAGCAAATGTTTGAGTGACAGCACCAAGAGAGTACCGACAAAGGGAGGTGAAAATAGCAGGACCAGCTAGGTACCATAATTTCTTAGATTCAACAAAAAACTCTCTGAAGAAATCTTGGATTCCAGTGATATGGGGAATATCATCTGCATTGGCAACAAAAGAAGATGCAGAAGTTTGTGCGGTGATTTGGGGTACACAAGGTGAAAGAAGAGGTTGCTTAGAGGAGTCTTCCATTGGAGGACAAAAGAGAATTCGGATTTATTTCCTGATAAGATAATCACTACGAGTAGTATATATAAAATTTCCCATACAGTAAATCATGTGTTTCCTTTGTTTGCTCTTTTCTTTTCCGTTTTTGTTTGATTTTTTTCTCTAAAATATTGCTTCCTCCTATCCTTTGTATTATTTTGCATAAAATAGTTTTTGGTTTAGAAAGCCATTGAAGGAAGACATTAGTTATAATTCTCAAAATCTTTTCTTTTTCTAGTAAATGACTATAATTTTGTTTAAAGAATTCCTACCCTTCTTCAGAATAAGTTTGCAAAGAGATAAAAAATAATTTAATCGAATAATTCATATGATTAATATTATTAAACAATTTTGCTAGTATACCAAAGCCTTAAAAAACAAATAAAAAAAAGATGAGACGGAGTAATAACTTACTTTCGAGAGTAGGTGAAGAATAATTAATACATTTGAAAGGGCAGAAAAGTTTTAACATACTCTCATTTGTTCTAAGACTAAATTATGTGTGTTCCTGTTGCGGCCCGAAACTGGGGTGGGATGTTACGGCACCCAAACTATCTAACCCATCAAACGAACTTTGTTTTAACGAGCTGAAAGTCTACATTGAATATCTTACTCAAGAAATTCATAAATAAGTCTTAAGATAATAGTTGTATGAAAATTGAATTTTATTATAAACGTTAACATGTGTGACAACTAAACCCACTAATAAAGTCATAAACCTCTAATTGCAAGTCCGAATAAATGAGTCTACGAACCATTCAATGGGAATAACTAATGACGTCTGAAAAATATGAGAATCCGAGAAGGTTCGATGCAGCTAGGAGGAAATTAATGGAGCATGTACTCTAAGTCTAGCAAGCTTGCCTCTAGCTACGGGTTTCGTTACCTGCATACTCAGCGTCTGTCATGCTTCGCGGCAAGCTTAAACGGGCTAAGTATCGCCAAAGGTACCCAGTAAATCTTGTTTACCACCCTTCTAAGGGGAGGAACAAGACTTTTTGGGATAATTAATTATAATAAAAATAATAATGATAACATAAGCAGTTCATTCAATTAGCACATAAGTTTGAAAACTGAAACAAGCCATAAATTCTGACTTAAGTGCTGAAAGCCATATTTAACAATAACAATGGTACGTGTGACCGTGGGATGGCCCAATTCCCGACCTTGCGATTCTTACATTCATGGAGGTCGGTGACCGGTCATTTTTTCCAAACACATAAATCTGAAAACGTGAAGCACTTGTTAATGTCACGATCCGAAATTCCAACCCGTCATGAGGGCACCTAACACAACGGCTAGACAAGCCGAAACATAAAATTAAAGGAAACAGAAGAACGGAACTTATAGAAATAGCATAAGTCTGAAATCTCAATACAACCAAATGCTGCTAATACAAGGTAAATCCCCCAAAACTAGTAAATACGGAGTCATGAGATCTACAAGTCTGAATCTGAACAATAATAACACTATTTGAACCGTAAAACAGTATGTAAGGGAAAGACAAATCAAAACTGCGATCAAGGATGCAGCTCCATCTCGCTTCTCGAAGATAGTCCAACAAGCAAGCCTACTGCTGGTAACTGGTCTCCACACCTGGGTCTGCATAATTAAGTGCAGAATGTAGTATGAGTACAATCGATCCAATGTACTCGATAAATATCTTAATTAACCACGATGAGGTAAAAGAAAACAGGAATTATAAATGATGCATGTTATAACCTGTACAGTTTCATATAATCTAACAAGTACAGAACAGTAATGTGAACATGTGTAAGATACTGAAAGAACTATCTCTGTGTGTGTGTACAATTACTCAAATCTCTGTGTAGTCACAAGTACAACATATAAGATGATATGCAGATAATCAGATAATAAACCTGTACAACTTCATATAATCCAACAAGTACAGAACAAAAATGTGAACATGTGTAAGATACTGAAAGAACTATCTGTGTGTATGTGTACAATTATTCATATATTTGCTATAACCTATACAGTTTTATATAATCCAACAAGTACAGAACAATAATGTGAACATGTGTAAGATACTGAAAGGACTATCTGTGTGTATGTACAAATACTCAAAATCTCTGTTCAGTCACAGGTACAACATATAAGATGAAATGCAGATAATAAGATAATAAACCATGGAAAATGCAAGTAAAGATGAAATGCAATTCCAAAATAACACTGGCCAGACTTTCTTCAACTTTTTCATATTCATATCAAACCACTAATTAGCTTTTCTCAATAACCGCGTGTACACCATCAAGAAAGAAACATGAGAGGGTGACCCTAGGGGGATATATCTGTATCCACATGCTGCACGGATAATTCACGTGCTGCACAGACAACTCACGTACTAATCATATCGATAACTAGATCCGCACAGACAACTCACGTACTAATCATATCGATAACTAGATCCGCACAGACAACTCACGTGCTAAATAGAATCAACCGCACGGACAACTCACGTGCTAAATAGAATCAACCGTACGGACAACACACATGCTAATAATCACAATTTGCCCAGCGTGGTCACATGCTACAAGTCTAACTCATAACATGGAGAAAGCAAATATGAGGGAATACATGAATGTGATCAATGATTATCAAGTTCATACTCCTGGATTGGTATAAATAACATGCTATATTGTAAGCATATGCAATGTGTGCTATCACAGCTAGAATAGATAATTTCCATCAAGAAATAACAGTTATCAGGTTCAACCGGATGAATAACTTCAACGAAATCTCAAATATGGTACAAATAGCTCACATAGGGGTACAAATAGGAGAAACATCTCAATTTGATGCTTATCAATCATTTTAAGGCATGTCATAGCCTAAGCACTACCCCGAGCATGAAAAATAGTACCCCCGATGCACACATATGGGCTTAACC